CCCACTTGCAAGTATAAAACAGTATTTTCTCCTTCATAAGTGCAAGTAACCGATATTTTGGCATATATATTTCCAAAATTAGACGAAGTAAGATAACCATGTCCTCCACAGGCAAGCCGTAAACGCTCGATACCAGCTGTGGCATCATATGATGATGAAGCTTTCAATGTGCAAGCCAATGCATGCAATTCCTCCAGACGAGAAAAATCATTTTTCTTAATGGCAACACTGGTATCTTGAAAATATTGATTTAGTTTTGATGCCGATAAATTGTAAGCAATAGCAGTTGCTATTTCCGGAAACAATTTATGTTGCTGAGTAACATGGTCTAAAATTTGTGGTTCAGGTTCACTATATTTCAAATATTATCAGTTAATTTGGCAATAATGATTTCAGTAGAAAGTATTCAAACTTACTCAGGATTTATTGGACTTTGACGTCTAACGGCTGAGTAACGAGTTGCTATAGTTGCAGCGAGTGCTAAATGATAGCTGGTATTTAATACAATCACGCAGCGTACATATACCATTGGCAAATAAGCTAATTGACTTTTAGGACTTTGTATAAATGTTCCATCAGATAATACTTTCGAATTTTTCATCAACATATTTGTGCGCGGAATACGAACATTTTTAAGACCCAAAAATCCGTTGTTAACTCCATTGAAACCAATTTTCTTACCAATATCACCAATATCAATACCTGGTAAAGGCATATGAGTCTTTTCATCGCGTACTTGCAATAAAAACATTTGTATGCCTTTAGATTCATTATTAATATAAAGCTGAGCAACAACTATACAATAATTGACGGACTGACCCACTAGAAAACATTTTGAGTATATACAGTAAAAATTAAGAACTTTAAACTATCAGTTACTTACAACCCCCTGGCCACCATTTATATGAAGACAAAGTTGGAGTGTTTAAAATGAATTCATCTGTTTTTCGATTATAATCGGCTCTAGTTTCTAGTCCTTTTAAATTGGTACCATGTCCCAATTCAGTTTGGGCATATGTACCAATAATCTCAAAGTTATCTGCACGCTTACCAAACTTCTGATACAATTCATCAGTACCGTGAGACTTAAGAGCAGGTGTAAACATTACAATATGCACTGTGAATGTATTGCCGAGCGGCATAAGAGATTCGGACAGCGGTCCTAACATTAAAGCCCTATAAATATTTTAATACAGACATAATCGTAAAGTGACAATTTTTTAAATCTTACGGATAAATTTCATTGCCATCAGGATTCAATTTGTTCTGCAATTTTTTCAGTTTTTCTGCTGCTTTAATACAATCATTTAATGCTTTAGTGTATAAGTCCTCGTAAGGTAAATATTCATAAATATGAAGATCGTCAGCATCTGATAGCAATTCCTTTTCTTAAATATTCACAAAATTATATATACATAAAAGACAGTTTTTGTTAAAATAGTTATATGGTAACATGCTTATTGCCCTATATTTTTTACTACATAATTTTATACATGTATTCTCTACTCTCTCTTATTTAGAAATTTTTTAAAAAACATTTCTAATTTAAAATTTATTTAATGTTTTTGCGTTATCAATTAAATAAAATTTTATTAACAGTCATTAATTTTATGTGTTATAAAAAGTTAGTATAATCTGTTGAAAAAATTCCTAACAATTCATTATGAGCCATTTATAACGTTCATATACGTAGAGTTATTAATAAGTAACCTACATGCAATTTGAAGTAGTCACTGTTATTTTGTAATTGCAATAAATTCATGCTTTTTTTATGAACCTTAATTACTTTAATTATAATTTACATTTTACATTATCAGACTCAATCTTGTGTTACATTGAAACTTCGGTAGAACGAGGTGACAGATCATTTGAGGTCAGATTTGCATTGCAGAAATGATCATTAATAGCATAGTTGAATCAATTTTATAGAACCAATGCTAACATATAGTAGAATATATTTTCTAACGTGTATTCTATTAAATTTTAAACATAAATTTCACTTCACTAATTTATTTGCTTTTTATCAGAGAAAGTTTAATAAATTGTACGAAACTTGTTCATCCTATGGACTTTAAGTGCCCATAACTTAAATGCCACACTTAAATAAGTGTTAATTAGTTAAATTTTTGCATGTCCTTTGAACTTTCTGTGCCAACCTCTGATCTCTGTACTTGTATACACTCTTGATATAATTTTGGAAACACGTATTTTCCAATTAAGTATCAATAAAATGATAACATAAGTCTTAAAATTATATATATAATTTTCGTTCCTTCCCTTTTAATGTAGGGGAAGATTAAAGATATATATATATACATTATATTGTCTATATATATTATTTAAAACATATAACAAGTTTTCACAACAAAAATCTAAATGTTACAAAGGATCCATAAGGCAGTTACGCAAATCCAGACGCCTTACCAAAGAAACGTTTCATTTGCAATTGATTTTCACCCTGCCAAATCACGGCGGCGAGTTCTTCACTGTCGAAACTAGCATTTTGACGTTCTTTTAACAAATCGACATTAATCGATTTTCCAATCGACATTTTCACCTATTTTAACTTCAATAAATAAAGAAAAGAAAATTACAATGCGATCAAACAACCGTCACGAATCCACACAACTTGCAGACATAACCAACAGACCTGCTCGGAATTCAATTTATATAGGTATTTATAATTTATATACAAAAAAATATTACGAGCTTATAA